GATCTCGCAGTGACTATGCACTGACGAGAAGCTGAATTCAGTGCACGGTGTTCAAATTACTATACTCTACTGCAGCGCGTCGACTTCCGAGCTACGCTCGGCAAACACTCGGCAAACAAATGTGCAGGCAAATTCGGGCGAATTAGATTTTACGCAGGGAGGCTGCAAAGCCTTCACAGTCGGAACATGGATCGAACAATATCAATAACAAAGTCTCTGACATGCATCTGCATTCTGTCCTGACCAAGCTATCCTAGCTTAACTGAAGCATGAGACTAGGTCGCATCCACCCGTGCACGTCCAAAAAACCAACGCTATTCCACTCTTCAGGCTGGCCAACCGCCCCATGCGCCAAAAAACTCCTCACGGCTGTCTAGGCCTTGACGTTGAAAACAGCGCCTTGGCAAAGGCTCCCGCCCAAAAAAGTCCTGGATGGGTCAAGGGTAGGCAAACTGTAGGACATAATAATTCTAGGGGCACCTTCAGGAAACCATCAAAAACCCAGGGGAAACAGCCGGTTTTTGAAAAGAACGTTGGTTGGAAAGAATGGGGAATCAACCCCTAGAATAAAGGTATGTTTGTGGGGCCCCATCCCATGCCAGGCCACATCGTCTCCTCCAGGCCACAGTACGGCTCAGCCTCCAAACATCGCAGTCACCTTTAGCCTGATGGGCTGAGGGTCCCTCACCTGGTTGGTTGCCCCAAGCCATCGGAGTTTTAGGACTGTTCTGGTCCAAGCTGAATATTTGCAATGAGTTCGATGGAGAGGGTTCAGGTAGCATGCGCAGGCTGTTCCCTGGAGTGCAGCACGCTGGGTGCCTGCATCGGCATATCGCCAGACAGCAGCATGGATGCCTGAGGGAAGGCGTGCAAACAGGATCGGCAAAAGAAGGAATGCTCGCATGCGACTGTTTCCACGCTGTTCTGATGTCAAAAGAACAACCTACTGATCAGTTCTTCAATCGCTACCCTGCATGGTCGAACAAAGGCAGAAGCTGCAGCCAACAGCATCACATCGACAAACCCCAAATCGCACCGAGACTTTGAGGCTCCGGCAGGCGAGAGTGGCAGTGACAACTTATCTTGGCGCAGCGTTGCTCTCTCCTCAGCGTCAGGTAGAAGGTAGAAAGGAAGGAGCGGCTCATGACACCAGTTGCATACCCCAGTTCCTCATCCCGTTTATGACCTGGGGCCAACAGTGCTGAAACTGCTCCCCTACAAATTCACATGGAACCCCAAAACGGTGTCCAATCCCCGATCCTCGAAGGCCCCGAAACTCTCCGGCGGGGTGATGGCGGAGCGCCGCGGGGTCAAAGCCTGGCTGCGAGCACTGGGTGCCCTACGGGGTCCCCATCTCCATACCCACATCAGATCTCTGTTTTGTGTGTGTGTGTGCGTGCGTGTTTCTTGCTTTTAATGAGTTCTCTAGCTCAAACAGATAGCCACTTCAAGTGAATGGCAGTCATGCAACGGGGTAGGAAGCAAAAAAATAATGCATTTCCACATGCACATTTCGCACATCCCTAGAATGCCATTGTGGCGGAAAGAAACTCAAGCTGTCACTACTTCATCTCCACCTTCTCTGGCTCCGGTCCAGTTCACCTTTCACCTCACAATGCAGCCCGCCTCCCGCTGCGTCTCCATCATGGGGGCCTAGAAAAACCAAGCCAGCATCATTGCTGAATCGAATTGGCGCACGGCAAACAATTGGGTCGCATTTACATCATCTTCCTCGAGGGAAAATTGCGACACTTGGACAGTGATAGGGCTTCCAATCGGTCAATTTCGCGCAACCAGTCATGTTGGCCACCTTGCCGGCAAGACCGAAACGAGTGGTGCAAAGGGCCTAAGGGGAAAGCAAACACACCTAAAAGATGCACATGACGTGCATGTCTCTAAAAGATGCACATGTCGTGCATGTCTTCGCGCATCTTGAGGCCTGCTGATACATCTGGTCTGAGGGTTGAAGGGTCGAGTTCTAAGAGCGAATGCACAGGTGCTGTCACAACAAGACTGAACAGCACAGGTTGCAAGCCCGGCAGGGGAGAGCCATTGAAGGCTGACGTGTTGCACAAATCCAAGAAAGCCAGGGGCAAAATCTGCCATTGGGACTCCTGTATAGCAACTTGACCGGACTTGTACAACAAGTCTTGGGTATATATCCTCTTACAGGCACAAACTCCCAGTTGCTCCCTTAGCCCATCTCTTCCCAGACACTGAGATCCCAGCTGCAGGTGGGAATGGACGAGCCTGCCATGTGGCAAGGTTTTCGGGCGGTGCTCTGAAGGAACACGCATGCTCAGGCCTGCATGCTGTCAATTGGTTGCAGCAGGGAGGCCTCGGCGCAATGCACGGCAAGAAACCCTTAGAAACTCAAACGGCCAGACTTGCGGGGAAGTGTGGCCCGCAAAAAGCAAGGCAGGCCCTGTGGGCCATGTGAGAAAGGCAAAACCGTACAAACCAAGCATACTCAGTATACACAGGCGCGCGCTAAACTACGAAGACTCTCTCCCCCTCTCTGAATTGAGAGGCTGGCAAGGGGCGGCATGTTGTTCCGGTTACGTCCCTGCAGGGAAAGCCATCAAATACCAAAAAAGAAGCGCTGGTCTCCACATATCCCATGCCCGCTGCAAAACAGGAGTCCTGATCGTCATCTCGCAGCAGGGAAGCCTTGACAGGCTCCAGCCACTCCAAGCGTGTCTTGCATCTTCTAAAGTGACAGATTGACACCATCACACACATACATCCCCCAAGTCTCCCACCAGAGAAGGCTGTCGCATGGGAGACCTCATGACCTGGCAGCCGAAGCGGCTTGCGGGGCCACGATACCCAGGATATCCACAGCCCAGCGGCTGGTGAGCTCATGGGCTGGCAGTGCACCTGACGAGCGCAGGCGCAGGCGCCAAATGGCGCTTGCCCCGCGGCAGCGGCAGCCCGGCACCTGCCTCCGGCCCAAAGCAGTCGAAGGTCGGCGAAGCCTTGGCCCATCTTGGCGCGCCTCTTGGATCGTGCCACGGATCCGACTCTGGTGTATGAAAAAATGGGCTTCCGCGCTGATGGCCACATTCTGTGGCTGGGCGCCTGCATGCTCGGCAAGATTGAATCCACAAAGGAAAACAAGAGATTGCAACTTGGAGATCTGCTCCAGGAAACCCCCAATCCAAAGTCTCCGCTGTGAATCTGCGCCGCTTTCAACCTCTTTACCCGCGTCGGCTTTGGGAAAGGCGGCCCAAACCAAAAAAAAGGCGGCAGGCCCAGCATGACCCAGCATGCCCGGGACGCCTCCAACAGGTCCAGCGGCAGCAAGGAGTTCTGAAGGCGAAGTGACAGAGCCCCAAGCGATGAGAAAAACATGCAAGTGACTTGGTTGCAGTTGACCCCCCAGCAAAAAGTGAATCACTTTTGGGGCAAAAAGTTAAAGTCTAAAGATCCAACGCAATAGCAGTCAAGGTGAGAAGTCAAATCCTGGACGTTGGTTGCAATTGTGATGGTTGCTAGAGGTTGGTTCGGGCAGGGTTCTGACCGCCTTGGGCAGGTCTTGGGATCAAGTCGTGTTGGCTTCGGGTTGGTCTGACGTTCGCCGCACTTTGAGGCGTTTTCAGGCTGGCTTGAAGGCTGGTTGTCAGACATCTTGGGCTGATTTCGAGACGTTGGCCCGGGGAATCACTGTGCAAGAAACACCTGGCGGTCGCTCGATTGAGCCCTCGACGAGGGAGGGCACCCGGCTGTGAGAAGCACTGCTCGCCTGCGCGAGCAAAACTGGCGGAAAGCTTTCGCACCGCCCATGTCGCAAGGAGTTGGCGCCTAGGTTCTGCCTGCAAGCCTGCACTAAAATCTGGCCCCGCCTGATCGTGCCAAGATCCTTCGGAAGAGAAGTGGGCCTCACTTGCGGCCTAAACAACCGCCTCGCTGAAAAAACAACCTAGTAAGCGCCTTCCCAGCACCCAAGCTCAAGAGGAAAACTCGGTCCTCCAGTAGGGAGGTTAGAACAAGGGTACCCTTTCTTCTGTAGTCTTTTTGGTAGGTTTTGGTAGGGGGCTCACCCTCCCAACCAAAAAAGAAGCGGTAAAAGTTGGCACCTGGCTGGGGGACCTAGAAAAAGTCGTGAAGCCTCTCTCTCAGGTTCCGGGCTGGCACGCGGCCCGTGGGCAATGGCACCTTCACACAGCCCGAATCAAGGGATGCTGCTGCCGGCGGGTGGTTCCTTCCCCCGTCGCGCCTGATCCTCCGCCCGGCCCTGTACAAGAGATCGCTGTTGTTGGCGGCTGTCATTGCAAAGCAAGCACAGCAAGAGAACCAGATCTGAACACAAACCAAAGAAACCAAAGAAACCAAACAAACCAAACAAACAAATCGAAGAAACACGGATCAAGCACATCAAGAAAGCAGACCCAAACGCAAAGCACCGTCCGAATTGCAGCGACTCCGCCTGGCTCCGAGACCCCACAGCCTCGGATCCCCGGAACTCGCCGCAAGCGGCGGCGTGGAAAGGAACGCGAAAGCGCCGGGCAGTTGCCGTCCTAAACTTTCAGCGTGCCCGCGAAACCAGGACAGAATGCGCTTGGCTCACCCAACTGAAGCCAGCCAAGCCCGCATGATCGAAGCGTCCTATCAACAAAAGTTCTGATCAACTGTCTGCCGTGAGCACATGCTCGAGAAACCGAGAGGCCGAGCATCACTTCTGCCAGCCAAACCGAACCGAATTAACTGCACATGCCAAGACCCCAAAGGTGTTGCTCGGAATGCTAGGTATGTCAGACTAGAAATGATTTTGCTGACCAAAGCTTTTAATGCGATTAAACCAGCCTGGTCTCCCGGCATGATCAGAAAATCAGAAAGGAACGTCGCAAAAACTAAGTAGTGGCTTTTTGCTCCTACACCTTCTTTGCTTCTGGCAAGTTGCTTCACAACCTGTTCCGGATCTGCCTGAGCACCCTTAACGGTGCCTGGCGAGACAAACTCGTTGTGCGTGGCGCCTTCAGTCTTGCCGAAGGCGCGCCCTACAAGGAGGTGACTATGCCTGAAGTTGGGCCAAGATGTGCCAGGAGCACCCCACGGCAAGCAAACTCGTGCTCATCCCAGGTGACAACCCAGTCAACGAACCTACTGTCGATGGCCGTATAGCCATAAAAAGCGCCAGCCAACTGGCCGGTGATGGAGCCATGGCTGTCAGCATCACCCAAAAGATTTACAGACTTTACCACAGCGTCATTGAAGCTGGTGGTGTGATACACTGCCCATAGGGCAAGTGCCAACCCATCCAGCGAATATGACCCGAAATAGCCTGCGGACACCGGATAGCCGTTGTAAGTACGGCCCCTTGCCCTCAGAGTGCCGGAGATATCCAGGTCTGGGCTCTTCCAATCCCAGCACCTCTCGGTGTCGTTCACTGGCTTGGAGGTGACCAACCATTTCATCTGGTCATATCCCCAGCCCGATTTTCCGTCCAAACCAGATACCTTCATGTATTCCTTGGTTGTCTTCTCCAGGAACTCCTTAATTGACATCTCCTGCATCCACGCTTCAGGGATGCAAATTGATGGGTTGTTGTTTCTGTCCCCTTTGGTGACATTGGGCGGAGGCGGGGGGGGGGGAGGCAAACAAGGATTGGTGTGAAAATGGGGAGGTGGGATCTCCTGCTTTCGCTTCAGCGCCCGGACAATCAGGAAGGCCAACAGCGAGCACGCCTCCGCAGCAATGATGCCGGGGTGCGTTGTATACGAGGACTTCCGTGCAAAGTCCAGCAGCTGTTCATCGCTGGGCGCAGCGTGGAAGAAGATGGCCACCTGCCACCAGATTACGCTAGGCCTTCAAACAATCCCCAAAAAATCTGGAAACAGCTTAGCAACCATGAGAAAGTGCAAGCTGCCCTCCGACCGCATTCAGCAAGTAAAGGGAACCGCTGATCAACATCCTTGCCTCCAAATCAAATGCAGTTCGAACCTTGGACATAAATTGTTCACAACAGCACCGAGCTGCAGGAATACTTAAAAAGGGAATGGACCCACAACTCAGGTGGAATCTGAGCAACGCCCTCCCTTCTCCCGAAGCCTCCCCATGCCCCCCCCCATCTCCCAACAATGCCCCATGTTGCAAAGGGTCGTTTTTTGCGGGTTTCCTTGCCTTGTTCGGCCAAAAAAAGGGAACGAAACAAGGGGCCGAATCCCCGTCTTCCCCCCTCCGGCCGGCGCGAAGCGCATCAAGCTGCCGTTGCCGGCGTCCTCGGTGGTGGCCTGAAAGCTAGGCTCCGGGCGCTCAGAAGGCCCCAGGTAGGAGAGCTCCGTGAGGCTCTTGGCGATGTTGCCCCCCAGGCCCACCGAGGAGCTGCGGCCCGGGTCCTGCATTGAAGCCGCTCTCCAGCCACTCATTTGCCATCCCCCCCCCCGTCGCATGTGCGGCCCGGAAAACGGGGCTTGCCCATGAGCCTCTGGCCCAAGGGCTCGGAGTACCAAATATTGCAGTGAGCTGCAACCACCCAAGTTGTTTGGACCTTCGGTGCCATCCGCACATCTAACATGACCTGACGCCAACATGAGCACACACCCTCCACCCAACTCCTTGCGGAAGGCATTGTTGTAGCCACGATTCCACCAGCACCAGAAGCGCACCCGCATGTCTCCCCCATCAAAGCCCCTCTTCAGGATCAAGGAGTCGGCCATGCAAAGGCCCATGGCGGCATCGTCGGTCCACTGCCCCCGCTTCAGCTGGAAGGTGTTGGAAGCGCCAATGAACTCGAAACTCTTCAGGTCAAAGTGGGGGCCAAGAGGCCGGTCTTGCACCGGCAAAAACTCAAAAGGATGCCCCAAGGAGTCTCCAACTGCCATGCCCAGCATAGAGCCCATGGCGCGGTTGAAGAGCTCATCCCTCACAGCTACCTCCACCAGCTTCTCCTTCAAGGGCAGTGGCACCTCTTGGAAGATAGAATAATTGTTGAGGTCGTCGCGCCCAAATAGCCGGCCTCCTCTGCGAATCTGGATGGCTTCCTTGTCCTTCTCAGCTGGCACCAGGCCAGACAGCACGTCTCGGATCAGGCTCTTCACCCCCTCTGCGGCGTGGCGCTTCGGCGATATCATGGCGTCGGAGCATGGGAGGCTTCTTTGGCCCATCGCAAGTTTCAGACCTGGCAACCGGATGGCAAAATTCCGGGCTGAAATTCATGGATGCGGGTTCAAAGAAGCTATGGTGGGGTCCAGTTGCCAGAACCTTGAATACTGCAGTGATGCATGAGCGCCCATGCCAGAACCAATCTGCCTGTCCAGCTTAGGCTTACGCAACGAAAAATCCAAAACCGCCGGGTTCCTCTGTGGCTCTCGCATGCTTCTGTTGAGGGTTCTTCTCGGGTGTTCCCAGTCTCTGCGCACCCGCTCAGGCAATTTCAGCTGGTGGGCAGCCCAGTGCCGGGGGCCAAACAGGAGACCCCAACCCAGCAGACATTGCCTCAGACCATGGGGGAGCCTGCACAGACCCCAGACAACAAGAGACAACTTCAGAAGCAAGGATTCTGCAAATCTTACAATATGTCCAAAATGCTGAATTAAGGGATCCAAGAACAAGACCTTTCTCATGGAGAGCTCGCTAAACCCCCAGAGCTCGCTCTAAAATAGGCAGGATGGGATGTGCAGGGCCGAGGCCCCGGCGCCGCATGTCCGCGCGCGCACCTCGCTTCGCTCGCTCCGAAGTGCGCCAAGCCCATGGGCTGAGAGACGGGCCAACATCGGTCGTGAGCTCGGCGACTCTGCCTGGGTCAGCGCGGTACTGTTACATTTCCCGTCTGCCTTCTCCTGCTTTTTTTCGTGCTTCCTCATGCTTTCTCACCCAAACACATTAGGGCTGCACATGAACAAGTTGACTAATCTGGGCGAATCGTAATATTTCATCAGCCTGAAATAAGGTGGTTGGGGGGCAATTCCCCACATAAACCATCATTTGGGGTGAGGTCGTGTAAGGTCGTTATGATTCACCCACACCAACCTGATTTTCCGGGGGCCGCGGACGGTAGGTCTTGCGGCACCGGGCATCCCGGCCACCGCACCCGGGGAGGGTGGCGGCCCTTTGCCCCCGCGTGCATTGCGCGCGCGAGGGCCGCGCTCGGCAGGCTGCGGTCGCTCGAGCTGGAACCTTGGGCTCCCGCACGTGTACTGTCCCAAGCGCACCGCAACATGCGAGCCCATGCCACCAAAAACAAAGTTAACGAAGCAATCCGTACGAGCGGCAAAGAAAAGAGGCTTGCCACCTTATCGTCGGCATCTTCATGGCCCACTCGCTGAAATAGCCTCGCTCAGTCGCTTCTCTCTTGCTTTCTCGTCTGAGGCGAAAGATTTGGTGTCATTCTTTTCGGGGACCCCTGAAAATGGCGGTGTTCCTCTCGGATTTCCCTTTCTCGACCACCAAGAAAAGAGTTGGTACAAACTAAAAAAAAACACGCACATCTTGCTCTCCAGCCCGCCTGGAGAGGATGCTGGCTGTGATGGCAGAGGGCCGCAAACCCCGCGAGACCATCTCCCCAAACAGCCCGCAGCCTGGCGTTCTCCTTTTGTGACCCGTTGAACGACTTCGAACAAACAGACTCCCTAACTGGATGGTGCAGAATAGAACCCGTTTAGGGTTAATCCCAACAGTTGAGGCAGCCACTAGCCGCTGAGCAGGTAATTGCGCTCAACAAATTGACTCAATTCTCCCTGCGCCTGCTTTCCAATCATCGGATTTCACGCAGCCTGCAAGTTGCTCGACTTTGAGCTGACGCCAAAACTTTCCAGTTCCTTCACTCCAAACTCTGTGCTTTTGGGTGCCTTCCATCAGGGTGTTGTAGACCAGCTCGTCGCACCGCAGCTTGCGCTCCTTCATCTCCTCGAAGACGCAGAGGGCCTCCGGGAATCACAGCCCTTCGGCTTCGGTCTTTGCCATGGACGCGCGCCCCCGCGCCTTCAGGAGCTCCCCGTTCTGGCAATAGCCCTTCAGCACCGTGGAGTAGCCTCACGTCGTGGACATGCAGTTCCCCACGCCAAGGGGCAAGAGCCGGTAACTCGGACGTCAGACTCGGAGTACGGCAGTTGGAGCACCATCGGTTGGTGGACAAGCTGACGTGTCTTGACAAGCTGGAGTGCACAAACAAACGGCACTCTAAGCATGTCAAAAGGCAGGGGGGAAGGAAGCTACAAAAGGACCTTCAGCATCACTAATTGCAGGTACACAGCATGGCCTCCCATGCTGCTTCACCAGCCTCCCTGCATGTTGGCTCAGGCACATACATTGATGCACGGCAAAGAAGGGTAACTATGCATACATGTACATGTGGATGCACATATCATCACATGTGTAGATGTGAATATAGGTGTATAATACATGTATAGGTTCATAGGCATGTGTATATATATGGGTGTGGGTCAATATTCTGGTGTGGAACGACGCGGACGTCTGGAACGAGTCAGTTACGCAAGGTCGCTTGTTCCGGACCTCTGGGAGGACATGCGTGGAGTCCTCAAGCACACGTTATTTAGTGTAAGATGGATAGATGGATGGATGAATGGATGGATGGGTAGATGGATGGATGAAGCGACTAGGGGCGCGCCGCCATCGTTGCCACCCTCGCGTCATTGGGACACCGATGCGCTGTAGTCACGCCCGCCACGCGCGCCAGCCGATGCACAAGGCTGGGAGGCGTAAGCCGATGTCCACCGATGCGCAAGCCGATGCAGGGTATCCTTCAAAGACTTCTTTGTCTCCAAAGCCCTGGCACATGTCGTCCTTGAAGGCTTCTTGGGTGGCGGGCCACGCAAGAAGCGCACTTACAGAACATGGCGCATGTGTGTGCATGTGGACTTGGTGGCAAATTGCTCCGCTGCGTCTGGAACACGTCTGGAACGGGTCTGGAACGGGGTCTGGAACGGTTACGCGAGTGGCTTGCACTTTGGAATGCTAGCAAGCCGCATGTAAACATGGTCGTTTCAACCGAGAACGGTATCGAACCGTTACCGTATCGTATCGAAAGCGGCGGAATTGTATCGCGCCGAACCGAACCAAAGTTCTGGAACACCGATACTCCTGTCTTCATTTCTTTCTCCTTCTTTCTTGCTCCTTTGCTCCTTCTTTCTTGCTCCACGCCATTTCAGCCTTGGCCATTGCACTTGCACACCCGACAAAGAACGACCATCTGAATCAATACTCTAGAAATAAATATACATAAACAAGGTCTGGAACATGTTTCTAGGCAAGGTCTGGAACGGAGGTCTGGAACGAAGGTCTGGATCGCATGTGGGTTCCGGACCCTGTTCCGGACCTTATAAATTGACTCGCAGCCATATATATATATACATGCAAACATATAAGCATATATGGATATAAATAGGTGATGTGTGTGTGTGTGTGCGCGGTGGTGTCCCTTTGGTGTCCCTTTGGTGTCCCTTTGGTGTCCTTCTGGTTTCTTGCTTTTGAATTCTCTTTAGTTTCTCGTTGGTTTCGTCCTGGACTTGAATACTCTATATGGAAATGCTATCAGGAACAGCAAACGTTGGATGTTGTGCGAGAGCATCGGGTCGGCGAAACAGGGCGGCAGCCCTTAGATATCATTTGCTTACATATACACGTGAGTCGCCAAGCGTAAGCAAACAAAGGCCCATATGCATACATATCTGCACGCATACAAACATGATATATTCACCTTCATGTAAATGTTCATTGATAGACATGTACGTACATGTCCGGACTTGCTTGCTTATATCTATGAATACCCGACACACTTACATGAATACACCGTTCCGCAAGCATGCAAAAACAGATGTTTTGATGCATGCACATACGCGCATACATACATCGGTATGTTTCTTCCACATCCAAACATTCCACCGCCAGCAACTGGCCAGCCAGTGAGGCAAAGTGGAGATGTGCCGCAAGCTTTCCATGGAGTTGATAAATCCAAAGGTATGGCGCAGCAAGGCCTCGCAAGCACCCCAACGACGGATAGGGCAGTCGAGAAGCTAATCAAATCTGGTTCAATCTCGTACTCCGTCCTCGCCATCTGATCCAAAATCTCCTGCAATACTGCCCATATGACTTCACCCCAGAATCAAGCGATGCGAATCAGCTCGCCTCGACCTCCCGTGCCGTTTAAAACCAGATTCAATGTGACCCTCAAATCCAGGTCTGCACACATTTGGGGGATCAACATTCCTGCCCCAAAATGACCTAGCCGTGGAAGTCATCTTTTTGTTGGTAGTCCCCCAGCGGTTCTCCCAGCACCTTTTGATCAACCCCTACGTGCCAAACAAAAAAAACCACCCGCCGAACACGGCACGTTGCGTCGCGATTCGCGTTTCGAACGTTCGCTCGCTCGCTCGGGGCCTCCGCGGAGGAGGTGTCCCCGCACTTCACGCAGGCCTCGAGGATGGAGTTGTAGGTGATGGTGTTGTAGGGCACCTGCGGTCCAACTCAGGGCCCTGGGCCCATTCCGCCCACATGTCCGCCCACTTCCGACCCGATTCGATGGGCGCAAAACGTGGGGTCCAATCTAACAGGTAATAACCTGTAAGCATCGGGCTGGTTCTGGGCCAGGGGCTGCAAATGGCTTTGCGAAGTTGGGAGCCCGGGCCTGTTGTTCCGGCATCTCGCGGAAAAGCTTCAAGGCGTTCTCCAGGTCTTTGTGCAGGCCATAGCCTGACAGCACGTGCCAGGCGCGCGCCAGGGGCCAGGCGGAACCTTTCCCAAGCGCATTGGCTTGGAAAACACTGCACCTGCCTTTGATCATGGTAGTGTAGAGGATCGTGTTCTTGTGCTTGCCCGTGTCACCTGAGCCAAGTGGAACAAACTTCGCCCTTCTTTCTTCCAGTACTTCTCGCCTGGATAGCTTTTCCAACTCAAAATCAAAGCCACAGCACCAGACACCAACCCGGCACCAACCTCAGCCACCCAGCCAGCCAGCCGACCAACCAGCCGGACTCCCAGACTTTGCCCCGAGCGGCGCATCCCTTTGAAGACCTCCACCGCCTTCTGCAAGTTGCCGCACTTCACGCAGGCATCCAACATGCAGCCGTAGGTCACCGAGTTCGCAAGGCCCCGCTGTTCCTGGAAAGCTCACTCAAAAAAGGGAAAAAAGATAAGCACGAGTAGCATTAAAAGGAACCAACATGAATAATAGTTTGTTATCATTATCATTATTATCATTATTAGTATCATTATTATTATTATTATTATTATTATTATTATTATTATTATTATTATTATTAGTATTATTATTATTATTATTATTATTATTAGTATTATTATTATTATTATTAATGATAAGAATCGGAAGAGGAATGAGACTTTGACTAAGAATAAGAACAATGTGCCCAACGACGTGTCAAAATGAGCCGTTGGTAGATGGCGGGCACAAATCCGCGGACCGATGTGGGTAGTCAGAGGGCGTCTCCATTGCACCGGCACCGCGGCAAGATCGAGAGATAGCATGGGTAGGCATAGGGCTGTGGCTCAAAAACATGCAGCTAGAATGGCCCCTTAAATGGAACCGTAGCTGCTACATTTTGAGCCACATATGACAAACCCAAAGGAGTTGTGCCAACATGAAACAACCCCCATGCACGGTCCAGGCCTATGGTGCTGGTATTGCAGTTTTCTTTTTTTCACAAGGGACTCCTTAGGAAGCCGGCGGCTCCAAATGCAAACTCATTCTGTATATGAATCTGGACTTTGCGGGGCTCATGCCCCAAAGGGGAGAAGAATCTTGAACCCTCTGCCTGGGACCTCTGATCTAGATTTAAGCTAGACCTGATCTAGATTGATCTAGATTTTGGAGGATTCAAGGTTCTAGAACTCCCAGAAAAGCTTCTTGAATCGCAAGATCTATGTCCAAGTAGGTTGAATCTAGATTCTCAGAAGTCTCTGGGCCAGCCAAGAGTTGAGACTCAAAACGTTGTTACGTTGGGAGTTAGGCAAAAGTGTAACGAATGAGATGTCCATATAATCTACCCATATTTCGTGTGTCTGTCTGCTCTGCGAGTCGGAAAAAATATGATCAAACATCCCAACAAAGCCCAATCCCAGCCCTCTCCTCCATCTCATCCCAGGCTGCCAGCACCTTGTCCAGGTCACCTGCCTGACCATAGGTCTTCACCAGGATTCCTGGGCTTTTCCCGCTTATCCGGCACGTGGGGAGAGCCCTCTCCAAAGCCGAAAGGAGCCCGGAGCAGCCCTGCCCCCCCCCCGCCAGAGTTGGCTTGGAAAATTTTGGGGTGGTATTTTGGGGGTGACTCGTGGTTTCCAATTTGGGGGGGTGTCGTGTGACTCCCTGTTTGTGGTTTTTGAAGGGGGGGGGGAGAGAAGAAAGAAAAAGAGAAAAAAAGAGAAGAAAAAAAACGGCACGCCAGGCGCACGTGCTTGCGAAGTGTCCCAGAGTGATGGGAGACGGCTTCACCTTGAGCCGTCGCATCCAGGAGACGCAGGACTCCAGGCGCTTCAGGTCCTGCCGGCTTTCGAACGAAGCCGGGCTCGAAGGGATGGTGTGGGCCCGTGGGCCCTGCTTGCCATGGTCAAGCAGGGATCCGGATGCATTATACACCTGAACAGTTTCCCTTTATTTTTGGTGGAAAAAGATGAAAAAGCCATGTTTCAACTGGCAAACTGTATCTTTTAAGGAGCCCTCTTGTCAAGGCTTGGATTCTGGGGATCTCCCAAGCTTCACCGAGAAAACCTCACCATGGTGCAAGATTCTGAAGCCCCGCGAGGGGCCAAAGCTGCTTACCCAATGGGAAGCCCCGTATGGTACGCTGCAAAGCTGCCGAGTCCTTGAGCCGGCAGCAGGTGTCCAGCAGCGCGTTGAACAACACCTCGTCCACATCCTGCACCATCGCCGAAAACCGCCGCAAGGCGCGAGTGTGGGGATGCGCGGGGCGCGGTGGCCGAGCACAATCCAAACGGTCCGGTGGGTTACACTATGGCACCGGGCAAAGAGTTGTCTCTGGCACCTGAAAACCAAGAGCGACCAACTACCCTCCTATCCACAAACATAGCCACTGAGAGGGGGCCCCTTCAACATAAAATTTGTCTTCCAGGTACCTCCCCACAGGTGCTACGTTTGCTGGAGGAAGGGCAGATCACATGAACCACATGATCTTATTTGGTTCCAACCAGGCCGATCTCCGTTACGGCCTCTGGCTGCAGCTCGATGAACTTCTCCACCAGGGAGATACCCCTGTATGCTCTGGTGGGGTCGAGGTGGGCTTGCCCATCCCCAACCGTCTTCATCAGCATGCGGGAGACCGTGTACCTTTCCAGGGCTTCTTATCCTGCCGAAGCTGTGCGGCAGAACAAGCACACTGGTGGCGCACTTGTCTGTTGTCTTGCCCTCTGCATGCATTTGCTCCAGCGCGTCCCAGGCTTCATCAACACCTTGCCAAAAAAAAAAACAAAAACAGACGGGACATCACAGGTTGCGTGCCTTTACGTCTCATCACCTCTTCCAGGACATTGGGGGCAGTCCGCGCGCGCAGCGGCGTTGGCACCTCATCCGATCCAACGCCAGTGCCCTCGGATCGACACCCCGCGGTCTCGACCGCACCGCACGCCTCACGCACCGCACAGCGGCCATCTTCGGACTTGAGGTGCGCCCGGCTCTTTCCCATGGTCTCAGGGTAGGCCTTGGCAGTGGGAGTGGCGTGGGCATCTGCACTTGCCGCCATCAAAATCATGCCTCGGGGTTCTCTTTGGCAGGGGACAACCATCGATGATTCCAGCCTTCCGAGCAAGCACAACACCCTGTAGCTGCCGAAAGGCTAAAGGCAGAAGGAAGCGAGAGGGAGCAAGCCAGGGTCCATACAAGCAAAGGGATTCCAAGGGTCCCTTTGCGCCCTGGAAGATTGGCGGTGAGAACTGCCAAAATCTCCGCCGTGGCGCCGATTTGCTCCCGGGAGCGAGGAGCTGATGAGCAAACGCTGCGGGAGTTGATGAGCATCGCGCTCACGCGGCGCTGAGTGGGGAAGCAAAACATCCCAATCCCCCCTAAAATAGACTAAGATGGGTGGTGCACCCACCCCAAAATAGGATCCCATTGGTTATGCCCCACGGCCATATCTTCCTAACTGCTTGATGGTCAGAAAGCTCGCGAACCAGAGGGCTCACACAAACCTTTGAATGGCTAGGGCCAAATTCCCACCTCCAGCGCTCGCTTCTCGCTCCGCTGATTCTTGGTGGCCACCGGCCAGCCTAGCCACGGATCCAAGAGAAAGGGTGAGGTGATATGATGGTGTTCATCTCTTCGTCCTATCTTGTCTGGATCTCTCGTCTCTTTCTTGTCCTTTTGGTAATTCCTGATGAAGAGATCAATTGCATGAAGAAAGAGATCCAGAAAGACAACCAACATTCCTTTCCCTTCCACATCCCGAGGCTTCCTCCGCTATAGCGAGTTAATCCTGTTATCGTATCTGGAATGAAGGGCTAATCCTTATGTGACGAGGAAGGGTTAGGAAGCGAGGAAATGGTGACGAGCGGTGGGGATGGGATGGGGTTATCTCTCTCATTCCCCATCCCTACCTCTCTCCATCCCTCGCTCGTCCTTTCCAGATTCTTCGTTCGGTTGGGGATCCAAGACTCGGGTGAGATGATAGGATGGCATCATATCGCCATTCCGGTCTTCGTCCTTTCCTCTCTCATTCCATCTCCTACTTCTGCATTCTGGGGTTCCAAGACTCATAAATATTCTGTAATTTTGGAAATCCATGAAGCAGACAATGAGATGACGAATGACCGAGCGAAGAGATGGGAGATGAAGGAAGAAGTCTTGTCCCTCCGCTGGCCAACAATTCTTTCCAGCGGTTACAAATGATGTCCTCTTCCTTCGTCTCTTTCTATCTTCACCAAACCTCAGATGAAATAGATGCAGGAAAATGTCATTCCATTCCATTTGGTCACTCCATTCCTTGTCAGCCTTTTTACCTTTCATAGTTGCCTTTGGGACTGCAAGGAAGAAGTTGACCCTCATCCCTTCACTCCAAGTCATTCCATTCCTCTTTGTCGTGACAGCGGGTTAATCCGAACCCCACACCCTCACCCACAGGTAGGATCGAGGGATGGAAGGGAAAGGATAATTGTCTTCTTGGTCATTTCCCTTTATCATGGTTTTAATCTGTTGGACAATTATAATCCAGAAGTATTAATATCGTATAATAAAGGATTGCTTCTCTATATCTTCATCTTAATAATTTATGGAGTATAATATCATTTCAATATTATTTTCAAGAGTTGGATGAAGAGGAAAGGTAGGTCGGTCCAAAGAGAAAAGGAAAGGTTAACCGCTATCCCAAACACAGGATGGGATGAGGTCTAATCCTTTCCATTCCTGTCCCTTCCTACGTCGGGCGGTGTATCCGGATGAAATAGTTGGCAAGAGAGAAGTGGCTAGACGGATCCATCCCAACAATGATGTAGGAAGGGGTAGAAGCCGGAACCAAGAGATGGCACTATCCTCACTCATTCCTTTCCCCTGCAAGGGTGTGAGCAAGGCATTAGGAAAGAGATAGCCACATCCTATCATCTAGAAACTACTTTAGGATGTGGAACAAGAATGAGAGAGATGAATGGCATGACCGCTCTCATCTCTCCACCATTTCCCTTCCTCATTCAATCTCTTTCTCACGGACTCACCGCTCACACGGCTTGCGGGGAAATGCCCACATTTCAACAGGCCGGGCTTTGTCTCCATGAAGAAACCTCCAAAACGGGTGGATTCACGGCGGTTCCCTCTGAAGCAGCCCAAAAGGCTTCATCACACTCCTACACACCACAAGCGCATTCCAAATTTGCTCAAGCTCCCCTTCATCAGAAAGGAACTGCCTGTGTCTGCGCTTGGCATTGCTGCTGGCATCCCATCTACAGGGTTCTCACAAAATCCAACTGCGTGGCTGGAGACTGGCTTGTGACTGGTGACTGGCTTCGGGCTGGCTGTTGCTGGTAGTGACTGATGAGAGCTGCACGAGGTCTACAAAGCAGAGCTTCAACAATGCAACCGTGTGCGTCTCCAACAAAACTAGGCTTATGTGCTGAAGTCCATGGTGAGGAAGTCATAGGGTCGTAAGAGCTGCAAGCCAGAAGCCAAACACAGCGCGAGCGAAACGAAGCTTGCCAATGGGCTTGCTCAGGGGCCCACTTGACTTGCAGCAGCAATATCCGTCGCGCTTTTCAGCACCCCTGCGCTGAGCACCGCAGTCGCCGGCCCTTCGACTGAGGCGTAGCTCCCTTCAGTGTGCACCGCACCCCACGCAACGCACACCTGCCCCTCCAAAGCGAATTTCAGTGCTATGCACCTGCAAACGGGGCGCATCCTCGTTCCAGAGAAATCCTGCCATGCCTACCTATGCCAGCATTCTTCCATGTGGCGTGCATTGGGTTCAAAGACAATCTCAAGCGTCTGTCACGTGCCTCACAATGAGTGCTTGGCCTGGCTGGTTGACCGTTTGCTTTCTGAGAGTCTCACTGACTCCTTGCGGCACAGGCAGTTTCCAGTTCCCTGGGGTCCTTCGGATCACGAGAAATGTTTGGTCTTGAAAGGTATCATTAGAGATTCAGATGCGCCGCCGCTAATGGTCATGCCGTCTCGGCAACTCCCTGTTAGCCACGCCCATGACATCCAGGATGCGCTCAATCAGCTCCTGGCAAGCGCCCGGGCAACAGACAAACGTCGATCAAGTGCAGGTGTTCCTATTCCTTTTTGGGCCGGAGAAAAACAAAAACAAAAAAACGATGGCCCTGGTAGATGAAGCCATGAGGTCCGCCAGGAATCGCCATCTGTGTCTAGCCAAACCAGCACAAAAGGACGCCCGCGGCTTCGGAAGCTCCTGCTTGGTGCCCTTCGTGGGCAAATGCAGTGTCTTGAGCCAGGACATCAGGCTCACCTGAGCGTCTGGGTGTTCTCAAAATACTGGACCTCCCCCAACCAAACAAACAAAAAGAAGAAATAATGGGAAAGAAAGGGATGTGGTTTGCTCCTCTTTTCTTTTGACGAAACCAAAGTTAGCGTAGCTTACGCAAAGCTCATGTTGCCAGGCAGGCATGCTCGCGAGATCCTTGCCTTCAACTGGCCTTGCAGCCACTCCTGCAGCTCCCGACCGGATCGCCTCATGACTTTGGCTGTTTCGAGGGGCTATCAAAATCAGAAACTGGTTGGTGGTTTCCCTGCAACCCGCCACTAAGGGGTGACTTTGACAGTGGTAAAATAACGGGGTCAGTCAAGAGCATAAAATTGAGATACTGGGCGCAAGCATCATGGGCGCCTCTGGATCTCTGAGTCAAAGGAGCCGTGGCTGCACTGCGACGGGGAGCTCGCCTGGCAAGAAAGACCGTGAGCTCCTTTTCAAGGGTCCCAGCCGTTGCAGTCATGCTCCCCACGCCCGCTGGACCACATTCACCTCACTTTCACAGACTGTGAATGAGTTTTACAAGTTGACTGAAAGGTCATCTCTGTTGCTTGGCTTAAATGATTATTCCGCCGCGAGCCTCTGACTCGCTAGAAGTGGAAGTAGAAGGGCTTGAGGGTGTAGAGGCCTTGGGGTCAAGATATGCACACGGCCCTCAAATGAACCACAGCTGCGCAGAAATGCAACACACACCACTGACCACACACACACATGTATATATGTATATGTATGTGTATCTATATATATATATGTGTGTGTGTATGTGTGTATATATATATATATGATTATATATGTGTGTGTGTGTGTGCGTGTTCGAAAGCTGGTGGCAGAGAGTGCAAGTGGACGGTAGGCACAGGATCTCCTGGTAAGTCGTCCGCTGGTGACCGGGTGCCCGCGATCCAGATCTGGCCACGTGATTGTAGGAGGGGAACTCAAATTGGCGACCCCGAGATTTGGAGCATTCGCTCTCAGCCGTGAATACCTCCAAGTTCTCTCTCTCTCTCTCGCTCTCTTTTTCGTTAAAATCGGTGGTTACTTTGCTTACAAGTGCAAGTGCTGTAGTGTTCAAACAAACAGTCAACCAATGTAGCCTGCAGCTGCCAACCTTTTGACTCATGCGGAGTAGTAAGCTCAAGGCCTGCGGTAGTGAACATACATGCAACAAGGGTGCAAAGTGAAGCATGTAGTTTGACACGGCCCCTCAGTTAAAAGGTCTTTGTAGTACCTTTTCAACTGAAGTGCAAAACATGGATTGACAGTAGTGATGAAAACCAGTTGTTCATCAATTCTACTGTATTGGCAAAAGTAGTGACCTGCGCTCAGTAGTTCACGCTGTTCAGGTTCCAGCTCGATGTAGGGCGCTGGACGGAAGTAGTGAAGGCAGGCACTCGTTGTAGTAGAGCAGGAGCTCAAAAATGTAGTCCCCATTTCTGGGTGCGGTAGGCTTGGACCATCTGTAGTCGACTGTCCAAGGTCGCGTAGTAGTTGGTGGTGAAAAAGGTTGTCATGTAGTTTGGAGCTCCCCGTAGTCGCTCATCATCAATCTCGGGACACGACATGTGTTGGTCGTAGTCCCGTAGAAAGCGGTGTAGTAGTGCTTTGTGGTGTTGTGTGAGGTTGGTCATTGTGAGTAGTGTGAATCCGTAGTATTGGATGCTTTTGCAGAGGATTGTAGTGATTGCTTTGTGCTGGAAGTCGTGTAGTTGGTCTCGGTTGTAAAGGTAATGGAGTAGTTCAGGTAGAAGTAGTGGCATGTGGTAATTCCAAACGTAGTTGTTCCTGAGGCTGTAGTTGTCAGTGAAGGTGGTCATGTTGTAGTTCACCTTGAAGATGGTCTGTGGCAGTGTTGTAGTCGGGAGGTAGTAGTTGTGTTGTACCGACATCATGTAGGAGAGTGTAGAAATTGTCCTGAAGTGAGGTACCTCAGGAGTAGTGGTTGTTCAATCTGGAGTTGGATGATGACGTAGTTGGTGTTGTCGCCAGTTGTAGTGTGGAGTGAAGTCGTGTGGTAGTAGTGGACATTGGCTGCTTCAGGTAGTGAAATGCTGAGCAGTGTGGAATTGTAGTGTGGCATCCGAAGATCTCCAGGGATGCAGTGAATGGGTCGTGTGTAGTCCAGTTGTGCCAGTGGAGTAGCTTGTTGTTGTGAGAGTAGTTGATACTCTTCAAGTGTAAATGCAGTGAAAAATTGAGTGTAGGGAATGTTGTCGGGCAGTGGTGGTGCAGTGGTTGTCTGGTGCTCAGTGATGTGTAGTTGGTCCATCACTGTGGTCGGGTTGTAGTAGACGGTGTTGCCGGGTGTAGAATGGTTGAAGTGGTAGTTGGAGTCGTTGTAGGCTTGAGGTGGTGGAGTTCCATGGTCACTGGAGTCTGTAGTGACCGCCACCTCAGGTGTAGTCGCCCTGTCGGGCGTAGTGGCGTCTCCCATCGTAGCATCTGCAGTAGATGGAGCGGCCATGGCTGCAGTGGAATGCAAAATGTAGTGAAGCGGGGCAAAACAAATGAGCCTAAGTAGTTGCTACCAGGCAGTCGGCGAATGCAGACGTGTAAAACAAACAACTGTAGTGTGCCAAAAGTGCAAGTGAAAGTACATGTAGTTACTGTTACTCACATACCAAAAGGGTCGTGTTACATGTAGCTACTTACATACATGAAATGTCCAAAGTCGTTGTTGTTGTTGTGAAACTGCTGTGCTGGTCGTTCGTAGTGCTTGATGCGTATTCCAATGCTCTGGATGAGCCTGTGTAGTGTTTCTTTGCTGATGTATTTGGTAAACAAATCTGCGCTGTTGTGGAGTGTGTTGATCTTAAGGATTCTGATGATGTCGTGCTTGATGAGGTCTTGTGTGTAGAGGAATTTGAGGTCGATGTGTTTTGCTCGTTTGCTAGTGCCTTGTCGTGTAGCAATGCTCTTGCCTGCTGTGGAGTCTGTGTGGATGCGTAGGTTTAGCTTGCTGCAAATGTTGGTTTCAAGTAGGAAGTTTCTGAGGTGTAGTCCCTCATTAACTCCTGTGCAAATGGCGTAGAGTTCAGACTCTGCTGAGCTAAGTGCTATTGTAGCTTGTGTTCTGCTGCCAAATGCAACTGTTGTTCCTAGAAAGATGATGTTGAAACCTGAAGTTGATTTCCTGGTAGTAGGGCATCCTGCCCAGTCGGCATCGACATGAACGTCGAGATCCAGGATGTTGTTGGTGTTTGCTCTGAGTGTTGTTGTTGGTTCTATGGTGAATTTGTAGTGCTTGGTGCCGTGCAAGTAGCGTAGTAGATGTTTGACTCTCTTTTGTGAAAGTTCTGTAGGTGCTGTGAGGTCTCGTGCTAGTTCTTTTGTGGAGTATGCAATGTCTGGTCGTGTGTATGCTAACCATTGAAGTTTGCCAACAATTCTTCTGTACCTTTTGTGTTGTTCGTGGTCAAGTAGTGCTTCATCTTCTATTGTTGGCTTGTAGTGTGCAATTCCTGGAGTGTTTACTGAGTTGCAGTTGTTCATTCCAGACTCCTCGATCATGTTGTCGATGTAGGAGTCCTTTAGTCCAAGATTGCAGTAGTTGCCGAAGTGGTCGATGTTTCTTCCAAGAAACTGTTGTGGTTTGCCAGGTTCGAGGTAGCCGATGTGCTTGAGTAGTACCTGCTTCTGGACGGCCTCGAAAGTGGAGTCGACTGCGGTCTTGTCTCCAAGTACTAGTAGATCGTCCACGTAGACCATGATGTAGCAGTCGCGAGTCGCATTGGTGTAGACGTTGGGTTCTGACTTTAGTCTTACAAAGCTGAGCTTTTGTAGAACTTCAGCCAGGTAGTCCTGCCATGCTTTCGGTGAACTGCGTAGTCCATACATGGCTTTCTTTAGTCGCCAGATTTTGTCCTGTTGTGGACAAAGTTCTTTGGGTGGCCAAAGGTAGACGTCACGTTGTTTACCGTCGTGGTCTTTTGCGATGGGTGCGTGTAGAAATGCTGTAGAGACGTCACCTAGTCGCGCGATCCAGTTTGGTCGTGACATTTGTAGTGCGAGAAGTGTCCGGAGTGTCGTGAACATTGGTGTAGAGGCGTAGACGGAGTCTTCGTCCTCGATCTTCTCGGTGTAGCCTTTTGCGACGATTCGGCTTCGTACTCCTGGTCCTTTCTTTCTGTGTACCCATCTTGTAGGTATCGCTTCTCTGATGACGTTGTCGTTGACGGTAGACGCATCTACTTCGTCGTAGACGTCGTGTAGTTTCATTTGGTTTGACTCGTGTTTCATTCCTTCCAGTAGTTGTGTTTCGTCGTAACCTTCGTTGTCGAAGATTATGGGTTGGTCTTCTGAGGTGTCGTCGTTTGTGTAGGGAGTTTGTGTAGGGAGTGATGGATTTTCCGTTGGGAAGTGTCACTGCGTTGATTTTCTGTCGTAGTGGTGGTGGTTCTTTGGTTGCTTTTCCGTTGATCTGATTGTAGTGTCCTTTGAGGCCTTCTGTGCTTTAGTTGGTTGCATTACTTCTTCCGGAGTTAAACGTCGTAGTGTTTGTCGAGGTGGTGCTGGTAGTGGTGGATGTTGTCGTCCAGTTGGCGAAGTAGCCATAGGACTATCCGGTAGTGGTCGTGAACTTGACGTCGATGTGGACGGAAGTCGTGGAGGTGGTGTAGCGCGTTGTTGTTTTGTTGCGGGTTCTGCAACGATGTCGTCCGTCGCATTCGTTTGTTGTCCGAAGTCTTGCGTGGACCTTCTTTTCTCTGACGGTTGTAGTTGCGTATCCAACAGTGTTGCGAACGATGGGTTGTAGGTGTTCCGTCGTGGTGCCCATGGTGTGCCGGAGACTTTGTTCAACAGTGCGAGGTCGTATTTGAAGTCCGGTTGTAGTCTCCGTACTGTTCGTACCTTTTGTACGCCTGATTCCGTTGCGACGTAGTTTTCTCCGGTTTCGGAAACTTTTCCGAGCCAGATGCATTTCTGCATCCGTAGGTCTGCTTTCGGAAGTTTCTTGTGTTGTGGTGGAAGGTAGAGTAGTGTCTCGCCAAATTCGCAGATTGCTCGCTCGTAGTTTCTTCCCCAGCGGCGTTCAAAGCTTGTGTAGCCGTCTGAGTGGATGACGTAGCGATTTACCGTCCATGCTGCATGTCGTACTATCCAAGGTAGTAGACAGTGCTTTGTGGACATCGTCATGCTGTAGTTGCTTTCAACTTGAGCTTTGACGACGCGGATTTGTCCGAGAAGTGTTCTATGTAGTCGCTCAACGCTTCCTTGACTGTTGCTGCTGTAGGAAGGTGAATGTCGTACACTCATTGTGCCGACTTTTGCTGCTGTAGCTTTTAGAAGTGCGTTGAGTGTGTCTTCGTTGTCGCTTTGTAGTATGCCTTGTGTTCTTCCGCACTCAAAGATGAATGCTTGTAGGTTGTTGACCATGTAGTCCATCATTGATGCTTTGTCTGGAACCAATACTGCCATACACAGTTGTGTAGTAACATCAACTGCTGTCAGTACCGGTGTGGTCTTTGGGTCTTGTTGTGACTTGATGTAGGCAAAGTCTACTTGAATGACAGGTTGTCGTGATTGTTGTTTCTTGTAGTTGTCTTGGCGTCCTTTGCCTTGAACGCAAATTGGACACCAGTTTCTGTATGGTAGATGTGTAAGGTTGTGTTCTGCTATTTGTTGTGGAGTGGGCTGCTGTGGTTGTCGTAGTCCTCTTGCTCTGTGTGCTTCATGATGCTCGTGTTGTTGTTCTTCATCGTGGTTCTCCTGGATGTACTCGTAGTCTTTCTTCACGGTGAACCTTGTTGTTCCTTTCCATTGAAATGGTAGTGCTGCGTTGCCCATGACTGTCCAGTCATCTTTGCGTTGTGAAACTTCTCCAAAGTTGTTGTGAGTGATTGTAGTTCTGTGAGGTTCAAGTGTGTTGATTGGTGGATGTCCTGGTCCATCTGTTGGAGTGAAGAGAGTTGTTCTAAGCGTTGTGTGGTGTCGTATCCAGTGTTCACCTTGTCTTTCCCAGTAGTCTTGGTTGTCCTCCTGTGCTGTGAGTGGTCTGTGTATTGCTCCTTTGGTTGTGTGGTGTCAAGGTTTGTTGAAGGTGCTGCTTTGGGTCTCCATATCTTTTGTGGTGCTCGTAGTTGGATCTTTGGTCTGGTTGGTGGTGTGTCCATTAGCCGTTGTGGTTGTGAGCTCTGCCTTGTTGGTGTGGTCTTTGATGTTGCTCTGCGTGTAGGTGTTATCTTTCTTCTGAATCTGGTTTCTCCAGTCCAGTTGTCACCTTCTAGTCTTCGTTGTAGTTCTTGCTTGGAAAGTTGTGTTGGGTTCTCTTGTAGTTGTTCTTGCTCTTGCCCTTGTCTGTTGATGATGGTTAGTCTCCAATCATCTAGTTCTCCTTCTGGTATTGGGCAGCCACTGTTGTGTGGTGTGAACAGTGCTTTGCGTGGTCGTTTGTGTACTCTGATGGCGTAGTCACCATCAAGTTTCCAGTAGTCAGTGTTTCCACCAAGGATCTGTCGTAGTCCTTGGTCTGTGTGTGTGAGTGGTGCGATTTGTTCTTGTTGTTGTGCTGCTCTCTCTGTAGGTTGAATCACAGCAATGGATTTTCCATTGTCTGTAGTCATTGGGTAGATGTCGAATCCTGTAGGAATGTCGATCTTCTCTGCTCGTAGGTAGAAAAGTCCTGAGTGTCTTATGAGGTGCGCTTGTTGTTGTCCATGTGTGATGGTGCAGTGTCGTGGAGTGAAGTCAAGTCCTTGATGCCGTAGACTGGAATCTTCTTGTTGGTCACCGTGTAGAGTTGTGGAACTGATTCTCCACAGGGTCGTAGTGGAAGATCCGGTGCGTAGTCCTTTGGGCAAACATGTGTAGATGCTCCTGAGTCGATCAACAGGTGGTGGTATGACTTGAAGTTGGAGTACATGATGTAGTGGGTGATAGTGTCCTCAATCTTCTTGTTCCTTTGTTGTTGTCTTGCTGCTGCTATGTCGAAGTGTAGCTTTGTGGTGTCTTCTTGTAGGAATTGTTGAAAGCTCTTGCTGTGGTCGTTCCATGATGTTGTGTGTGTTGTTCTCTTGCCAAGTAGTGATTTGGATTTGTGCTTGTGTAGTCGTGATTTTGCTTGTCTGATGTATCCAATGGTGAGGTGTGACTCGTTGATGCCTCCAATGTAGTTCGCTGTGTCCTCATAGCTGTTGTCATTCCAATCCCAGCTGTTGTCATAGTCGTAGTCGTTCCAGTTCTCCTCCATGTAGTTCACCTCATGTTGTCCTTCTTCTCCTTCGTAGTACCAGTCCCAAGTGTCGTTCACATCCTGAGGTAGTTCATCATTGTTGTCGTGATCTGCTTGTTCTTGTTCTAGTGGATGTAGTTCTTCTCCTTCTCCTATGTGCCATACCGGCACTCTGCAGTCTTGTGCCCAGTGGCCGGGCTTGCCACATCGATGGCATGTTGTGTAGTTGTTGCTTCCTTTTCCTTTTGATTTGCTGTAGTTTCCTTGGCCTTTGTAGCCTTTGCTTGATCCATATCCTTTGGATCCTGAGTAGCCTTTTCCTTTGCTCTTGTTGTATCCTCCTTTGTTGTAGTTTCCTTTGCTGCCTTTGTCGAATCCTTTGTAGTGTCCTTTACTCCTGTACTTGCCTTTGCTCTTGCTTCCTTTGTAGCCGCCTTTTCCTTTTCCTTTGCCTTTGTAGCTTCTTCCTTTCCTCCATATGTTGTCAACATCCATTGGTGCAGTTCCTCCATTGTAGTTTGTTCCTACTGCTGAAGTAGATCTAGTGAAGGCTGAAATCGTTTTGTAGTAGTCCAGGATGAGTGCTCTGATCTCGATGTAGTTCGTGATCTGTCCAGCTCGCAGTTGGAGGTGTTGCTGCAGTGCTCCTTTGGTTTTGTTGAGTAGTATTGCTATTTTGATTCCATCTGGTAGTGCTGTTCCATTGTCTTTCTCGTAGCGGTTGATGTCGTATTCCCATTGTAGAAATTGTTCTTCAAACTGCGCTTCGTTGAATGTGGGTTCCAGTAGTTTGGTAAGGTAACCAACGCTCCTTGTTCCTACTGGTAGGCTGAACCTGTTGTGCAGTAGTCGTAGTGTTTCACATCCGTTTGCGTTGTAGCGGTTTTGCCTTACTACTGTAGCTGCTGCTCCCTGACAGATGTTGATGAGGATGTAGTGTAGATCTCTGGAGAGGTCTACTGCTTTGCTTGCTTGTGTAGGGTCGAGTATGTGTGTTCTGATGTCTGTGTCCTCAATCTGTCGTGTAGCCACTTGTGCTAGTTGTAGCACCAGGTCGAAGTCTCGGTCTATGAGGCCGAGGTATGCTTGTAGCTTGAACAGCCATTCTTCATACTGGGAGTAGTCACCAGTGAAGAAGGGTGGTGGCAGTTTGTATCTATGTAGTCTCTGAACGTCGTTGTCTTGTTCTGTTCCTGCTCCCGTAGTCGTGGCTCCTACTGTGTCTGCTGTTGGCCCGTTCTCTGCTCCTGTAGTTTGTTGTGCTGAGGCTGATGCTGCTTCTCCTGACATGTCGTAGTAGTTTGGCATGTAGCTGCTGTTGCTCTGTTGTTGTAGTACTTACTGCTTACTGGAGCTCCCCTATGTTTAGGATCTCAGCTCCGCTACCACGTTAAAATCGGTGGTTACTTTGCTTACAAGTGCAAGTGCTGTTTGTGTTGTGTTCAAACAAACAGTCAACCAATGTAGTCTGCAGCTGCCAACCTTTTGACTCATGCAGAGTAGTAAGCTCAAGGCCTGCGGTAGTGAACATACATGCAACAAGGGTGCAAAGTGAAGCATGTAGTTTGACATTTTTCCCTCTGTGTGTCTCTCTCTCTCCAGCATCCTAATGGAAGCAGGGAGGAGCAGGGAGCATTCCTTCGAACTGTTCTGTTCGAGTCGCGGCAACTCACGCCCCATATGAGTACTTTGCTTCGGTTTGGGCTGACAGGGGGAATGATTCGGGAAGAAGGGGCGGGAGGTGACCTGCTATTTTTGGACTTGGTTTTCACCCCCCCAAAAAAAAAACAAACAAACTCAGCGGCGCTTCCTGAGCGCATTTGGCCAGCCGCAAAAACTCCAGAGACTTCCTCGGACCCTCGGAACCTCCGTCGGCCCTCCCGTTTCGGCGCCTCCAGCTTGGTCCAGGAGGACTGGCCCGCCTCGTTGGCGGCCGCCACCTGCACCTCGGACACGCGCGTTGAGGCCGCGTGCGTTGAGACCGCGCGTGTGAGCACATGGCCATGGGTCAAAACCCAAATCAGTTACCCCCCAGTGAACATCCGATTCAATCCAACCACTATAGGTTCTAAAATGGGTGGTGAATTCACCTACTCCAAAGTGGTACCATTGGTTTTGACCCACAGCCACATGGCCAGCAATAAAACCGAGGCTGCAAGTGGGTGAAGAAAAAACTCGTTGCGCATCCATTTGCATCCTAAAAGAAACGAACTTGGGACGGCTTTGATCGTCAAAAGGCCGGATTTTGCCGTGTCTTCGTACATCATGGCGCTGGCTGTGTGTCCTGAAGGGTTTCGTTAAGTTTGGTTTAGGCTGAGTTGGGGGTCAGTTTCGACTGCATCTAGGTTTGATTTGAGCTGTGTTTAGGATCAGCTTGGGATTCGATGGAAGGGCTTGGGTCAGGTGGGTTTGGCATGGGCTCGGGATGGGTGTTCAGGTTGGATTAGGCTTGATTTGGAGTTGGCTTGGGGTTCCCCCAAGTTGGGCTTTGTGTTGGTTCAGAGCTCGTTTAAGGGTGGAGTTTGGACTGGGTTTGGGAAAACAACGGCCAAAGCCAAAACACCAAACCAAACATCGAACAACAAATGACCCTCCCTTGTTTGCTCCAACCCGGGTAATTCTGCCATACAAATGCCCCAGCCTGTGCACATCGACGCACATTAAGCACGTACCAAGGCTTGAGCGGTGGCCGTGGGCTGCTTCCAGAGACTGGGCATCTTCTGCAAGTCCTCTTCCTCGGATGCCAGCTCAAGCAAACCAACAACCGACCTGGAACGCCCAGTTGAAACGTGGGCCTCAAATGTGGGCTATCGTGGGCCTTTCAGGACTCCGCAAGCTAAACACAACGCTGGCCCACAGCGTCCAGAGATCGGCACTTTTTCCCGAGATACCTAAGTTTGCCGGGATCTCCCGCAAAGGAAGTCCCAGCATGACGTGAAGCCTGTCCGAACCTTGGCCAAGTATGCCTGTGCTCGTCCAAAAGAAGCACCACCACATGAGCCATTGACAAATTCAAAAACCTAATAAATAATGCACATTGTAAAGAATGACTTTGACGCCTAGTTCCGGTTGGAAATTTGGTTGAACTTCCCAAAACCAGGCGTTGACTTGTTCATTTGTCACTTGCTCAAATGAGCTAAATTCTACTGCCAGCTGAGGCTGGAAAAGCTGAGCGTCCTTGCACAGCTTTGCCTTGTATTGTGACCCTCGGGATTATGACTCGTGGTGTCGTCACCGCGGTGTCAAGTCAACATGGTGCAGTTGGCCATTCGCCTCCAAGTTTCAAGCGCGTGCCCGAATTCTTAGAAGCGACGGCCAGGCGTGATCCACCTCCAGCGGATGAGTTTGTAATTCACCGAAGGGACAGAAGTATTGTTGGACGCTGCCGTGCCAGCTGCTTCCTAAGGAACCCGTTATTCATCAGCTCACATTCAAGAGGCTGGCGTGAAGGCAACAAACATCATGCCATATTGACAAGGGGGTCTTTGCAATCGTTGTTTCTGCTGGGCTGGCAAGCATCGGCCGTTTCAAAGCTGTTGCTTGAAAGTAAGATTCATTCCGGCCGTTTGATTGTCAAGGCCACACGCGATCTACGGTTTCCACCAGGCCGACATGCGGTTGGTAAGATCCAGTTCGGATGGCAGCTGGGCTGCTTCGTGGCGGAGCCACAAGTGAAACGCCTCAAATTCTGAAAGCATTGTTGGCAGCTTTGCGCTGCTCAGCCTCCAACCGACACTTTGTGCGATAAGGCTGAAAAAACGCTTCAAAAACTTTTGCAGTTGATTGTGTGGAGATTTCCATTGATTTAAATGGGATGTGGGATGAATGCTTTCAAAAAAAAAGGAGTAAGATCTCTTCATTGTTTTGGGGGGATGTGCAAAATAGTCGAGGGGAGGTGCGAGGGGCATCCTTTTGGCTGGCTGGGGCTGGGTGGGCAGCAGCAGCTGGCCGCTGTGGCTGCAGCCCGCGTTGCCTGAGTTTTCCAGCCACCATGCCATTGGTATGTGTAGCTTGTTGAGGCAAGTGTTCTCAAGGGCGCCTTTGCATTCTGAGCTCGCTTTCTTTCCCCCAGCAAGGAACTCCAGTTGTCCACATCGATCCGGGTCTAGTAAGTGAAAGGTGGTGAGACATGCGTCAAATCAGGGTCTGACAATTTTCCCTTGCGCTGCTTTCCGAGTCTGGTTTGTGGTTGTCCATTGCGTGTTTCAAGCATTGCTCAATCCTGCGACGTCCAATGTTCTCCAGTAGGTCCAGCAGTTGGCTAGCTTCAAATAACTGCTTCTGTTGTTTTGGCGCTGCTGCCTGGGATCGGCTGGTCTTTGCAGCTGTGTCACTTTCAGTGTCAAACCATCAGGCCGGCTGCAAACCAGGCGCCTGGGTCATGAGTCTGGCTAGCGCTCTTTCCTGCCCAGGTAGGCTTGGCATGGTTTGGCTTGGCTTAGCACGGCATGGATTGGGGTTCAGCCAGACTTTGTTGCATCCGCCCAGCCCAAACTGTCATGGAGTCATGGAGCTGCCCCCGGATCTCAAACCTTCTATCGTTGACTCACCAAGCAGTGCCAGATGCCCCATCTTTGCAAGCAAAGGTTACCTGATCCACTGTCCTTGACTTCATGCGTCTAGCTGTAACAAGACTTCATTTTTGTTTTTGTCAGTGATGGAGTCATTGTTAAAGCAACATATCCCAGGCCGGGTGAGAAGCTGTACCAGTGCTGCAAGAAGCTGCGCGTGTATGAGTTCTGGGCAAGCGCACTCAGTGTGGAGAACCTGAAGAACCTTTGCGTCAGCAGAAGCCTTTTCTTACTCGTTGGGGTTGATCAACACAGCAAGTCAGTTGCTTTGCCAAGCCTGCAGGACATTTGGACCTCGATGAAAGCGCTTTCGCAGGAAGAGAGGTGAACCAGTTCCTGATGGGCGTTCTGAACCGGCTACAGCGTAAGGGCTCTCCAGAAGCGTCCTGATTTAATGGCTGGTGTGCGTGTTATCTTTGCTTTATGTTTCAGATTCTCAGCCTGCCTACTGTCACTAAGTTGTTTGCCCCCATGATACCAGTAGATTTGGCGCCTGCAATTCTGGTTTTAGTCAGTGTTTGGGATTTAATGAGCGCCTATATGTCCCACATTTGTTGAAGAAGTTCACCTAAGTGGATTCACGCGTTGCTTGAGATGCTGCTCAAACCAAACAAACACCCGGCATGTAGCAGATGTGGGGACGTGCTGCAAATGCTGGTTGGGTTGGGGCAAACGCCCTGCCAAGAACCCAACCAAACCGCAATGAGTTGAGACCAACATTTCAAGCATCAATTTGGGCAAGTGTCGGCGTGAGCCTGGAGCTGCTAAAGGCTTCGCAAGTGCTGCTGGTGGAAATGCGGTCGCGCTGGGCGACATGCCCTGCCGGCTTCCAGTTTGCCAGGCTGCGTTCTGTGGCCTTTTGGGCGTCAGTGAGAAAAGGGTTTCCGTGAGATGAGAAAGCTTTCAACTACGCAATGCAAAAAAACTGTGTGTTGTTTGCCTTGTTCGTCCTCTGTAGACTGTAGCTGTCTGGTTTTGCGTTTTAGCGCCACAAACCATCAGGTCTTGGCAGCCGGGACTTGAGAAGAAGGATGCAATGGCAAGCAATTCCAGCGCGGATGCCTTCATAAAACTACTTCCGCTGGAATAAAAGCTTACCTTCAATGATGCCATGCACCCAAGGCAGAAACCCTTGCAGAGACGCCGTCCATTGAGTCATTAGATGGTGCTGCCCTGACTGTGAGTAGCATCTTCCTCCCAGGTGGCTTAGAGGTTAACTTGGCTACTTGTGCTAGTCTGGGATGCGTCGGCGCTCAAGAGAATGCGAAAAACCGACCTTACATGCGTTGTGCTGGCTGCGTTGCATGGGCGGACTTCGTCCAGTTTTATTGTGGAATTGGACTTGGGGCGTGGGTGTTTGAATTTCGTGGCTGGAAAAAGCATCGCACTTTACCATTATGGCTGCTGCTTTGGCATAGTGTAATGTTGTTCCTTTGCCCTGGCCCGTCATGGCATCCAGCCACCTTTGCTGCACGAGGCTGGCAAGGCCACCTTCCTGCGGCGAAATAAAAATGCAAGACACACAACCCGCATTTGCATGTTACCTTGGCATTTCGACATAGAGAATGAAGCCAGCCTCCGTGAACCTCCAACATTGGGGGTCTCTGTCAAGCTCACGGGTGTCTCTCAATGAAAAATGAAATGACAAACTTGTTCTCTGCTGAGGGGGTGACTAGCAGTTGTGGCACTGGACAAGCTGAACTTGGAGGTGGGTAAGGGCTTTCTATTGCAGTGGTGACTGTTGAAAGACTTCTGATTATTTCTTCTACGAAAAAGCAAAAGGGTTCGGCCCGCACCTGTAGCTGCCAGAAGCTGCGAAGCGGGGGCTTCAAGCCATCAAGCGCAAGCATGTTCGTCTTCAAGATCCGCAAGAAGAATTGCATAAAGCTGTCTTCAAGGGGCGCATCCGCAAAGCGCCAAGTGCGATCTCATGGGTGTTCAGCCTGATGAACATGGCTGCTTGGGGTCGCAGTGATCCTCAGTCGGAACCCTGCCGTGCGCTGATCCTGCATGCGGTGAGCGCGCATGGCTGGGAGGGTCGCGTGGGGGATCAGGGGCATTGCTACTGTCGTGATGTGTTTAGATTGTTGTGAGGTTTCCCCTATTCAGACGATTGCTTAGCTTCGAAGAAGCTCGGCTTGAGGAACAATGCGAAGTCAGCAAGAACAGCAAAGAGTTCACCTAAAATACAGCTAACAGCCCCCAGCTCCTCTTCCAAATGGCGCGTGCTCTGTTTGACGGCGCCCCTGCTGCCAAAGAAAGAAGCTGCCCAAACAACAGCTTGAAGAGAAGGCGGATTGGCGTCAAGCATAATGCGTTGATTTGGTCATTTCGTTTCTGGGCCAATCACGTGCGTTGGTTGAGGAGCTTTCCACGACAGTGGTGGAACTGGGGATTGCTTTCAGAAGCGGGGAGGATGCGTGGACTCCTTGCAGCAATGGGTGTTTCTTGGCAAGAAGCGCTTGTTTTGAAATGTCCTTGCAGGCATCATGGAGGTCCTCAGTTTAGAAGTCTGCTGGGGCTAGGATGCGTTGGTTGTTACTGCCTGCAAGGTTTGCAGCAACGCTTGGCCCTCGAAGTTTTGACTCTGGCTTGGCGCTCCAGACGCTCAAGAGTTTGGCTCTGTGGAGAGATGGATGCAAGCAATCAAGCGCCCTGCTCGTGCGGTCTCGCCACCTTCAATCTGGGCCTGTCCGGCGGCGCCACCTGAGAGTTTGCATCTGGAAGCGTTACCCTCGAACAATATGAGTTTGCACAGAACGTTGACATTGGACATGATGCAGCCCTGAAGCTACTTCAATCCGTGATTGAGACTTGCATGCACCTCTTATGCGTCAATGTTGTTCTACTATCACTAGGTCCAGTCAAGCGGGCTAGACTTGATGTTCAGACTGCGCCCATGGTGGTGGACACTACCCCGCTTGTGGGCAACTTTCTGGAAGCCTTCATTGATATCAGCTTGAGCAGCGACAGGAGTGATTCAAAATAAACAGTTGGTCATTAGACTGAAACATTGTTTGGAGCCGGCTGCCGGATGACCCGCCCAAAGAACGGGAGGAGGAAACTAAAAAAATGGAACGGGTGAGGAAAGGAACGGGTGAGGAAAGGTACCTTGAAAGGGACAAACCTTCACCCTGGCGCCAGTGCAAATCATGGGGGCAGGA